TATGTACACATACACACTATACTGTATACAATTGCTACACAAGTCATGTCATTGTTTGTTATTAAAAATTACCTTTCCCTTTCAATCTGCAGCACTGTAATTTTCTGTAAAATGCAATGCAATGTGCACTTACTGTAGAGACTACCATACTGCAGTGCACGCAAAAGCAGCTTCTACCACATTTAGCTTCTTTTTTTTTTTTACACACGTCAAACAGATATAACAAAATGTATCAAATAAGAGAAGTCTATTCTTTGACTTTTCACATACATGTTAATATGTTTTTATAATATAAAGGTGTCTCCTTAGTTGACTAGCATATGGATCATATGGGGGGCACAGTCACTGATGGGGTGCTGCTTTTGCGTGAGTGCTGCGTTGATGGAGTGCTAAGAAGCAGTTAAACACAGCAGTTGAACTAAAGCAGGATAACTCAAGCAGCAGGAAGATACAACAACAGCAAGAAACTCTACTGCATGCTGGACAGACTGTAAGCAAACACCCTGGGAAACATCTCCTACAAGTCTGAGTCCCACTCCCTGTACCTTTTTAATATGTCCCCTCTACTCCTCTTTTTCATATTACTATCCTGCGTTCCCAAAATCTCACTTCTTTACCCCTCTGCTCCACCCCAAAACTTGTACATCTCACCCTGACTGCTACCATCTCCCTACTACTGCTCTCATCACCTCCTGCTGATACTTCACTCTCCTGCTGACCCAAACACCAGGACTGGAAGGCATGTGCACTCGTGTACATCCCACTCCCATGTTACTTTCCTCACTCTTCTTCTTCTCCTAACCTTTGGGGATATTTCCCCAAACTCTGGTCATCCTCTATTTCACCCCCACACCAGGCATCCACTTTCTTCCGGGAATAGCCACAATCCCCTCAATTTAATATCAGTCCCCGTGCTCCCAAAAACCACACTCCCTTTTTCATGTGCGCTCTGGAATGCCCACTCTGTCTGTAATAAGCTTACCTCTGTCCATGACCTTTTTGTCACCCGATTCCTTAACCTACTAGCTATTACAGAAATCTGGCTCCAAGCAGCAAATTCTGCTTCTCCGCAGCACTTTCCCATGGAGGCCTCATCTGGACCCACTCACCCAGAACCAGTGGTCGGAAAGGGGGTGGGCTTGGTTTGCTTCTATCCCCACTGAGCACTTTTCAAGTCCTCTCCTAACCCTCCCTCTCTATCCTTCTCTTCTTTCAAGACTCACTGCATCCGACTGTTTTCTCTCATTTCTGTGAGGATTGCAGTGATCTATAGGCCTCCTGGACTGGTGTCCCGCTTTCTTGATGATTTCTCCGCCTGGCTACCCTACTTAGTCTCTTCTGAACTACCCACTATCATTCTCGGAGATTTTAACATCCCTATTAATGTCAACAACCCGGCTACATCCCAACTCTTCAACTTAACCTCATCTTTTGCATTAGCACCGTGTATACAGTCCTCCACTCACTCTGATGGGAATACATTAGACCTTGTTTTCTCCCATCTTTGCACTCTCTGCAACCTCACAAACACCCCCTTTCCTCTCTCTGATCACAATCGCATCACCTTCAAAGTCTCCTCATCTTCAAACACCTATCCCTCCAAGAGGCAAACAATTACCCGCAGAAACCTTCACAACTTGAACCCTGCTCCTTTCCAATCTGCAACTGACCAACTCTATGGCAGAATCTCTCCCCTGTCCTGCCCTGACCTGGCCACTGCTGTCTACAACAGTTTGCTTCCATCCACATTAGAATCACTTGCTGCTCTAACAACACGAAGCATCAGGCCCCGACCGTTACAACCTTGGCAGACTGACGACACCAGAAATCTTAGTCGTGCACTGGAGCGATTGTGGTGTAAAACCAAATCTCAACAAGCATTCACCCTATATAAATCTGCTTTCTTAACATACAAGTCCTCCCTTTATGCTGCCAAACAAGCCTACTTTGTCACTCTTATTAACACTTTGTCATCCAGTCCTCGTCGTCTCTTCTCTACTTTTAACTCTCTACTTTCTCCACCTCCACCCAGTACCTCACTCACTGCTCACGAGATTGAAAATCATTTCAAAAACAAGATTGACGCAATTCGTAGGGGCATCGCCACTGCACAGACATCCATCTCACTTAGCATACCTTATACTAAACCTCCCTCAACACTTTCCTCTGTTGACCTTCCTACTACCAAAGAAGTCACTAAGGTTTTCTCAGAAGCCCGTCTCACTACCTGCCCCCTGGTTCCTGTCCCCTCACAACTACTACGGTTACCCTCTTCTTCCATCCTATGCTCCCTCACTCACATCTTCAATCTTTACCTCTCTACTGGTGCCTTCCCCTCCCCTCTAAAGCATGCGCACATCACTCCCATACTTAAAAAGCCCTCCCTGGACCCCACCAACCTGAACAACTTAAGACCCATCTTCCTGCTGCCATTTACCTCTAAACTCCTAGAACGCTTAGTCTACAATCGCCTGAGCTCCTACCTCACCGACAACAACCTTCTTGACCCTTTACAGTCTGGCTTTCGCTCACTACACTCCACTGAAACTGCCCTACTAAAACTCACTAATGATCTACTAACTGCTAAAACCAATGGCCACTACTCCGTACTCTTACTACTTGACCTCTCTGTGGCTTTTGATACGGTTGACCATCCCCTCCCCCTCAAAAAACTCCACTCTCTTGGCCTCAGAGAGACTCTGCTCTCTCCTGGTTCCCCTCCTACCAATTGCAGCGCTTCTTCAGTGTTACCTATAACGCCGCCTCCTCCTCTTCACTCCCTCTTTCTGTAGGGGTCCCTCAAGATTCTGTCCTTGGACCCCTTCTCTTCTCCATCTACACCTCCTCCCTTGGTCACTTGATAAACTCCCATGGCTTTAAGTACCATCTCTATGCTGATGACACACAAATCTATCATTCTACCCCTCACCTCACCCCTTCAGTCTCCACTCGCATTACTAACCTACTAAGTGACATATCGGCATGGACGTCACTCCACTTCCTCAAACTCAATCTTTCCAGAACTGAGCTCTTAGTATTCCCTCCAGCCCGTGCCCCCTCCCCTGACTTCTCCATCAAGATCAATAACACAATCATCAGTCCCTCCCCTCATGCCAGGGTACTAGGTGTAATCCTAGACTCCCATCTGTCCTTTCAGCCCCAAATCCAATCACTGTCCAAATCTTGTAGACTTCACCTCCGCAACATCTCCAAGATATGCCCTTTCCTAACCTCGGAAACCACTAAGCAACTTATTCACTCCCTTGTTATACCTCGCCTTGACTATTGTAACTCCCTCCTCATTGGCCTACCTCAACGCAGGCTATCCCCTCTTCAGTCTATCATAAATGCTGCTGCCAGACTCATCCACGTTACTAACTGTTCTGTATTTGCCACCCCTCTCTGCCAATCCCTCCACTGGCTTCCCATTGCCCAACGGATAAAATTCAAAACACTAACAATAACGTATAAAGCCATTTATAACTCTGCCCCAAATTACATCACCGATCTTGTCTCTAAATATCACCCAAACCGTACTCTCTCTGTTCCTCGCAAGACCTCCTACTCTCTAGTTCCCTTGTCTCCTCCTCCCATGCTCATCTCCAAGACTTCTCCAGAGCTTCCCCCATCCTCTGGAACTCTCTACCCCAATTTATCAGACTATCGCCTACTCTGCTCACTTTTAGGTGATCTCTGAAAACCTATCTCTTCAGGGAAGCCTATCCTGCCCTCAGCTAATACTGGAATCTTCTACTCTTCCAACCAGTCTATCCCCCACAGTTACTACCTTTTGTACCACTAGCCCCTCCCTCCTAGATTGTAAGCTCCAAGGAGCAGGGCCCTCAAATCCCTCTTGTATTGAACTGTATTGTTGCTGTATTGTCTCCCGTTATATTGTAAAGCGCTGAGCAAACTGTTGGCGCTATATAAATCCTGTATAATAATAATAATAATTTTTAATTGCTGAAGATGACCAAATTATAAATCTTTCTTTTTTTTCAGGGCAAAGTGAAATATCATGAACACATCACCAATGGATTTGAGAACATGCCAGCAGGATTCATGGGAATGCTCAAGGGAGAAAACATTGGGAAAGCAATTATCAAAGTGTAAATTTTAATTAAAGTAACATAATGGCAAAACCTTTTTAGTTTTAATTTTGAATAGAGCAAGGGAGGTTTATAAGCCCTGTAAGGTTTACTTTTGCCATCTGTATCCCATTAGGAAGATTTACTTTCACTTCCTGCCCCATAGCCAGACAGGAAGTGAGAGGAAATCACTGCAAATGAAGGGAATCACTTGGGGACCCTCAGGTCACCAGAACCAGTGTCCCCATTGGAAGATCTCCCTTCTATTACTTTTCTGGGGACAACACAAAATATGAGATTTTCTTTTACTTTCATTTTCAATGATAATGGTAAACAGGACATGTGTTGTAATCCCTCTCCACTCTAAAGGCAATTTTTTTTTTTACTTTTGGATTGTTATACTTTAATTAAAAAAGAGAGAAACATGGTAGCTGCTATTGCTGACTTGTTTGAGAGTCCCAGCCTAATCTTTTTTTTCTTACTGGGTCAGTCACTGACCTGCAAAGCAGGTGTCCTAGCACTTCACTGGCTCCATGCTTTTTTGGGTTCATGACTCTCTAAGTGCCTTAAGCAAGGATAAGCATTATACTTCCTATAAATTACAGCACTGAAAGATCCCTTTTGTTCCATCTTCACAGACTATCTTCACTGAACTATAACTAAAAAAAAAAACCCACTTGAACATTATATTTGCCTAAGCTATTCTACTAAAATAACTGTCCACTAAAAGATCTGTGTTGATTCTATTTAACCACTTGCCTACCGGGCACTTGTACCCCCTTACCCCGGTCATGCAACACTGTACCCATATGAAATTTTTATAATTTTTTTGAGACAGATAGAGCTTTCTTTTGGTGATATTTAATCAACTCTGAGTTTTTTATTTTTTGCTAAACAATCCAAAAACAACTGAAGATTTTGAAAAAAAAAAAGTTTTTTCTTAATTTCTGTTATAAAATTTTGGAAATAAGTGATTTTTCTCTTTCACTGATGTGCGCTAATGAGGCTGCAGTGATGGGCACTGATCGGCTGCACTGATGGGCACTGACAGGTGACACTGATGGGCACTGATGAGGAGGCACTAGTAGGTGACACTGATGGTCATTGACAGGCATCGCTGATGGGCACTGAAAGGCAGCACTCATATATGGCATTGATAGGTGGCATTGACTGGCACTGTTAGGGTGACAGCTCGTGAGGAGAGGACTGCCGATAACCAGCATTTCCTTATTTACATGCGAACAGCTGTGATTGAACACAGCTGATCACATGACAGAGCCAACGTCATTGGCTCTTTCCGTTGATTGGTGATCCGCTGTGTCCCAGGGACACAGTGCACCACCGATCGCCACGCTGCATGCCCCCGAGGGTGTGCACGCACGGTTAGAGTAGGAGGACGTCATATGATGTCCTTCCAGAACAAGAGAACCACCTTGCACCCGTTATTACCTTATATGGCGGGCAGGAGGCAGTTAATATATATCATGTATGGCATCATATCAGTTTTTTCTGTGGGGTTATATATAAATGCTCACTGACTGTAAGGCTAGGTTCACACTTTGCGGGGTGGTTGCAGGAATCACCGCTGTTCCAGCACCTGCATTCTTAATGGCACCTCCATGCATCTCAACCCACAGCACATTTGCAAGTGCAGGAACAGCAGGGAAATGGCATGGTGCAAAAGCACCATATAGGCAAGTGCTATTAAAATGGTGCAAGCACCTTTTTTTGTGCTAAATGCAGCCACAGCAAATGAATGGGCAAACGCGGGCCACAGACCCGCACTTTATTAATATTATTATTATACAGGATTTATATAGCACCAACAGTTTGCTCAGCGCTGTTCAATATAAAGGGAGACAATACAGCAACAATACAGTTCAATACAAGAGGATTAGGAGGGCCCTGCTCCTTGGAGCTTACAATCTAGGAGGGAGGGGCTAGTGGTACAAAAGGTAGTAACAGTGGGGGATGGACTGATAGGAGGAATAGAAGGCAGGATAGGCTTCCCTGAAGAGTTAGGTTTTCAAAGATAGCCTAAAAGTGAGTAGAGTTGGCGATAGTTTGATAAATTGGGGTGGAGAGTTCCAGAGGATGAGGGAGGCTCTGGAGAAGTTCTGGAGATGAACATGTGTGAACCTAGGATAAGAGGCTGGGCAAATTGCTTTACATTTAATTTTGTTTGTGTAAAAGAGTCAGTACCTTTTTGTTGGCCATCTTACAGCTTTACTCCAGAGGTGTTCCTGTGGGACCTATTCTGTAAGTGTCAGACAAAGTTCATCACAGCACTTTTGGCATTGTACTTGGACAGTAACAGGATAACATCAGTTCTCCAACCTGGAGAGTGTAAAGTAAATTATATCACGGCAGTATTATGTACTTGTGTAACTCCCTGTCACGGTCCACACTAGTGACAGGCCGTGTGCTGCCTCCCATTTTGCATGCTGCTTCTCAAAATATATTCAACAAAAATGTCTCTCTTTTTCTTGTTTTTAGATTTTATTTGTAAAATGCATGTAGTTTACAAGATAGGTTACTGGTTTGATAAAAAAAAAGTAGGAACAAAATCTACACTGGGAGAAAAAGCATGCTTAAAATGAACTGACTGTTGTGTCCTCAATATGTGTTAACCCCATAGCCTGTGTGCAGCTTGACATGCAGCTAAACCCAGCTATTCACCAATACTATAAGGCAGTAGTGGTCAATTTAAAAATGATAAAGGGCCTCAAGTGAGGCCTCTGCCACTCCCAAAAGGCCACACAGAAGCAGTACATTTGCAACCCTCAATTACCCAAAATGTTGGCCCAATGCATTTTTTTTATCACAATGCACACTAAAGAAACTGGAGTACAATAACCCTCAGCTTTGGTGTCAATGAGTGGAAAAATTAACCCCAACATTGGTGTCAGTGGACACAATAATAACCCCCCCCCATCATTTGTGTCAGTGGATGCAATAATAACCCCCAGCATTGGTATCAGTGGGCGCAATAATAACCCCCAGCATTAGTGTCAACCAGTGCATTAACAGCCCCCAGCACTGGCATCAGTACTATTAACCCCTGTATTGGTTCTCAGTGGAAGTGACATTTAACTCCCCTTCTACATCGGTGGTATGTGGCAGTGAGAGTTAACCACCCCCCCCCCCCCGTTGCATTAATTCTCGGTGGCAGTGAAAGTCAACTCCCCCATCTCCCCTGCATTGGTGGTCATAGCGGTGAAAATTAAACCCCAGTCCCCCCATTGATGGTCACTTACCCATCACATGCTCCAGAGCCAGTTTCTCCATCTCTCCATGCTGGGATCTTATTGTATTGTGGGTGGAGATAATGTATAAATGGCAATTATAAGATGATACTTCTCGGTGGCCAATACATGCCAGTGTAGCAGAAGCTAGTCCTTGTGACACCAGCATGGAACATATCTGCACGTATAGGAGTGTTGGGTCACTTTGACACCAGCCTGGCATCTCTGTGTAATTAAAGAAATGTGGCACCTCGGTGACACCAGCTGGGGACTCAATTGTTCTTACAGATGAGTGTTTTTCTTTTTTTTTTTGTACAGTGCACATTTTCACGTGGAGAGCAATGCAGGGAAATACAGACATGCTGTACAATTTCTGCACATAACACCTGCATTTTGGTGTGAATGGGGCCAAAAACAAAACAATAGTGATCTGCGTGCCTTGCATTGTTCTAGTGCAGGGATGGGCAACTGTGGCCCTCCAGCTGTCATGGAACTGCATGTCCAATGAGGCACTGAAAGGCTGACAGTTGCATCATGACTCACAGAGGCATGATGGGACTTGCAGTTCCACAACAGCTGGAGGGCCACAGTTTGCCCACCCCTGTTCTAGTGCATAAAACCATAGGTCTCTGCACATGGCGTGAATGAGTACTGTACTAATGTACAATGCAATGTGCTTTAACACACCAGACTACAAAGGTGCGAAGGGGCAAAAGTGAGATGGGCTTACATGGCATTTGCTTTGGATCTTTTAGAAAGCATTATACATTTTCCCAGCTTCACAAATAGAGATAATAAAATCTCCCCAGCTGGAGAATGAGGCCCTTTTCACATGGGTGATCCAATCAGGTTCGCCTGCTAGTTTTTTAGGCAGACCTGATCGGATGGTCCATTCAGCAAGCAGCCTGTTTAAATCGAAATATTCTTTCTTCATAAATTTAGGCCAAAATGTATTCTGCTGCATTTGTTTGGTAAACATAACCCAAATCAATGTATAATTTTTAGGGTCGGTTCACACCAGATGCAATCCTGTGAATTTCTTTTCTCCATCAAAAACACATGTAGAGTAGATTATATGGATTCCAATGGCATAGTTCTTGGTAGTCCAGTCCGTTCCAGTGCAGAAAAAAATTAGAACATGCTGCATTTTTACTTAATTGAACTGTACTGAATTGTAGCAAAAAGCATCAAAAAAGCACCTGAACACAAATGTCACCAGCCCCCGTCACACTAGTGCAACTTCAGATGGGCACAGAATCGCATGACAAGGGGAATCACATTGTTTTCAGTGGTGCCATGCAATGTCAGCCCCATAGACTTCTATGTTAAAAACTCTCACAAAAGTTGCATCAGTATTAGATAAGAAGCATTCCTATGCGACTTTGATAAGCTGTTTTTTTTACCCTCACATCTCGTCCTTGCTGCCTAAAAACTCTCCTCCTAAGCACATGCCATTCACACCTGAGCGTAGTGGAAACATGAGTTCCTACTCGTGTTTTTCTTTTATTACACATAAACATGCATAGCACAGGCTGCCTTATGCGTGAGAAATGCTCCAAAGTAGCTCAGTCTTCGAGCATTGCGTGTTTTTTTTCAATTCATGTTTTGGCATGATTATAGTATGTTTTCTTGTGAAATCGGATGATCAGATGGTCCATTCACCTCTATGGACAGGCAGATGTAAACTGACTTGTATCTGTTTACACCCGCCTACCTCTGATCCAGGGTTCTGATCCAGTCTCCTAAAAAAACAAAACAAAAGGGATCTGTCCCCTTCCATTTAGGCGGATTGGATCAGTGGGCAGTCCATTTACTCCCATCCGTCCATAGAGCAGAGTGGGCCATGTCCGTGTTGACTCTGCTGCTCCGAATGGAGTCCACCCTGCTTGAAAGGGACTTCAGAGACAAAGTTATTTTTCATGACTTATGTTGCTAATTGTTACAATGTCTAAACACCATGCAAGACAGCAAAGTCGTATGGAGCTCAATTGCCATCTTGTGGCCATTTGTCAGAAGGGAAATGTATGATGTGAGCCTCATTCACACAGGCCCTAAGTCCCGTATTCCATGAATGGGCCATGTGTTTACGTGGCTTGAGCCACCAGGGACTGCATGCAGGCAGCCTATTTAAGTCGATAGGGACACAGTGACTTCACAGATGCAGATGTTTGGCCCAGTTTAACAGATGTAGAGGAGTTAGGGTTGCCACCTCATCCCGTTATGTCCTCATGCACACTGGATGTTTTTTCAGCGGGTGTTTTTGGCTTTTGATGTTTTTTTCTACAGCTAGTAAACCCCCCAGCATGTTATCCTATGTAAATACTCTGTGATCACTTTGAAAAATATATCCAAATGTCACTATATCGCGCCTGATGCAAAAAATGAACACCTAAAAAACAAAACAATTATGAAAACTTGCTGCCACTATACCTTACTTTAACCACCTTTGGGCCGCCATATAGTACAATGACGGGTGTAGGTGGTTCTCTCGTTCTGATAGGATGTCATATGACGTCCTTCCATTCTCACCTCGCATGTGTGGCTCAGGGAGCGCGCAGCGCAGCGATCGCTAGTGTGCTGTGTCCCTTGGACACAGCGGATCATGGAAAGAGCCGAAGATGTCGGCTCGGTCATGTGATCAGCTGTGTCCAATCACAGCTGATCACATGTAAACATGAAAATGCTGGTTATCGGCATTTCTCTCCTCTCAAGCTGTCACGTTGACAGCTCGAGAGGAGGGGAGAGCCGGTAATCGGCTTTCCCGCGGAGGGGACATGTACACTGATCATCAGGGCACTGATGATCAGTGTGCCCTGATGATCAGTGTGGCCCCAGAAGTGCCACCTGTCAGTGTCCATCAATGCCAGCAGTCAGTGTTCATCAGTGCCACGTGCCAGTGCCACATCAATGCCACATATCAGTGCATACCAGTGCACATCAATGCCACATATCAGTGCCCATCTGAGCTCCCTTTCACTGTCACCCATCAGTGCCAGTAGTGCCACCTATCAATGCCAATCAGTGCCACCTAT